CGAACACTTTTTTTACTGTAACACAATACACTTTTTAATATTTACTTTTCATCCTATTTTTCTCTAAATTTTTATATATCTAAAAAAATTTGTCTTGTTTTACTAATATACAATATAGTATTTTTTTACATTTTTTATATTTTTTATATTTTTTATTTACTTAAGCGCAACTTTTTATAGTAACCTCTGTTCTTTCTTTATGGACTATTCTACAATGAGTTGAAAATGTTCCAATGCCAGTTGCGACTATTAGGAAAAAAGTATTATTTTTTGTGCTGCGGTTGCCAGTTGATGTTGACAAAAGGTAAAAGTTGACCAACTCTTTTTTAGTAGCCGTAACGACAAAGCGCAACCAGAAATAATACTTTTCTTTACGTAATTGCTAAATAAACTGGCAACGGGACATTTTTAATTCATTGTGGAATGGCCCTATGTATTATATGTCACTGCACATGCGCAATGTTCAAAGTACATCTCCTTATATCTACATATATCGTATTTTCTATTTCGCTTTCTCACATTATCTTTACAACGTGTATATAATTCTGGTTTGGGTTTGGGTTTGGTGCAGCTGTGGCTCAGAACGCGTATATAATTATCTTCTCAGCTGCCCTATTTGCATGTAAATAAAGCACGTGGTACCTCGCGCATTCTTCTTCTTCTTTGCTTAAATGGCGCGAGAGAAGCAAATGCCAGTCTGTAGTCGTTTTTATATTCTCAGAACGAATGGGGAAAAGGGAGATATGCAGTTGTTTACTACTACTACGCGATACACGGCCGTCTATTCGCAGTGGGCGTGCTCATCTGTGTCGGGCTCGTGTTCGAGGTGTTGTGACTATGATCGCCTTGTGAAAGGGGGAATTAATTCGGGATTATACCCGAATTAATTATTGGAGGCCCGATTAAGTTCGCCGATCAACCGATAAACTAGGTTGAAAGAGACCGGCCCGGAAAACATCCTTAGGTGGTGAACGGATTCGAACTCAGGACCTTTAGGTCCGCAGCCCCTGCACTTAGGCCGCAAGACCATTGGGCCGGTCCTGGTACCTCGCACAGCGCGCACACACTTTACGCACATACTTAGCGCGAGGCACTACCGTGCCTCTTGATACACATCTATAATGCGTTCAGTTTGAGAAGAGAAACCGGATGAGCAAAAATTTCATGCACTTTTCTTATTAAAAAAATTTCTTTACAGCCTTGGCTGTCAAGTGTTCCACAAACAACAATTCCGCACACAACGCTATTCCTACGTTATTTTGCCCGCTTTCCCTATGCGCAGTAAAATTCTCTTTTCAAATTAAACGCAATACATATGTGCACGAAAGTGTTGTAACTTGGCGGCGACAAGAGGAAGAGCACGTTCTACTGACAAAATCCATGTCTCAAGACGTAGACGAAAAAATAAACATAGTTTTTCGGGCTTTCAGACTTTGCACCGAGATTTCTTCGTAGAAAAGGAACGGAAGAAAAAAACCGTGAGATACTTTTTTTTCGTGCCTTGATCTCACCTTTCTATTGAGTCTAGGCCGAACTCGAACAATTTAGCCGTTCTTGAGATCTGAAAATCTTGAAACGCATAAACGGCCATTCTCGCGTATATAAGAGGCACGGTACCTCGCGCAGCGCGCGCGCACTTCGTTTGCGTATATACTTCGCGCGAGGCACTACCGTGCCTCTTGATACATATATATATTTGTTCGCGTGTAAATTTTTACACGCGAGTTTTTTGAATTGAATTTCAATTCTTAAATTCATATCGGATGCTGGATTTGCATCACATATATAAGAGAACTGAGCCGAGGAGTATTTTTTTTGCAATATTTTAAAA